TCAACGTAAATATTGTGTTTGATACATAGATATAATTTTGATCTGCAAAAAATGATGACTGACATGAGAAGTTGCAGATACGAGCCAGGGCATGCATTTCCCGGCTACATGTTTAACAACGTTGGTCTTGTAGAGAAGGAGCCTGCCTTCCAAAACAACAACAGCAACAACAACAATACTTTGCAGGTTGGTGTTGAGTTTTGTATTTTGAAAAATCAAATTTTGGTTATAACTAACGTCCAAAACATCATTTGGTGATGGTGGTTAACCGTTATATCAGTAGATACGTTATACATAAATGAGACTTATACAGAAATCTACGCTAAAAATATAAAGCAATTTGTTAGTATTGCAATTCAGTTATCTCTTAAAATTTCATACATTTTGTCTTAGAATTGCATTAACTTCTACACGCCAATTAAGATGAAATTACGTAATTAGGTTTTCATAATAAAAATTGAAATCTAAGAAAGTATTGTATCACAGTGAAAGTTAAATTTTTATGAAATCATGAAAATAAATTATTCGCGCACCAGCAGACAAGTTTTTCAAATGGGTTGTCTATGTTGCAACAGCAGCAGCATCAGCAACCGCAGCAGCAGACAAACAGTCTTGCCTCAGTACCAACAACAGTTACTCTTACATCCCTCCCAACCAGCTTAACAGCAGACAGCCACTCCTTCCTTTACAACGCTTCCAACAACCTTCTCATTAACAACTCCAACTGCAACCAGTTCGAAGAGAACTTGATTGGTGGGTTCAGTGCGACGGTCGGTGAACTCTACAGAAACGCCTACCCTCTGAATGGAGGTGTTGTTGATTATGAAGATGTAAGGTTCAGCAACGGTGGAGCCTTATTGATCAACCCCCCATACAACAGCAGCAACAACGTTACGTCAGATAACCACGTGACCAACAACGCGGGTGACAGTGAAAGTATTGTTAACGCTTTGGAGTTTGATAAGGATGCAACAGCAGCCACTTACTTATATCATCATCATCAACTCCAGCTGCAACAACATTATCACCATCAGCAACAACTTCAACAACAGCAGTCCCACTCATATATGAGTTTAGATTATAAGGCCTACAATGCATATGACAACAAACTATATGCCAACTCTCTTGAAAACACTTTCAACAACCAAATACAACAAAAACCACAACAACATCAGCAACAGCAGCAGCAACAACAACAACACCATCAACAACAACAACAAGCAAATAATAAACAGTCTACAAAATCCAACAGTGCTAGCAGCTACGGAGGACAAAACCCTTTAAAAACTAAGCAAACTGATACAGCTAAAACCGGCAAGGTGTCGAAACAAACACCAAATAAGAAGCAGAAAACAGCACCGAACACCGCACAAAAAGTTTCCACTGGAAGTCACGCAAACGCCCTGCCTCAAAATGAAAGCATGGAACAACTGCGTGAAGATAAACAGTTTTCCGACGACAAAGGCAAAAACGAAAAAGTGAGCAACGGCGACAACAAGCACCCACCTCCATCTTCCTCCACATCGATAACGTCAACAGCACCGCATGTCCTGGAATCAAGTCCAAAAGCACAATACACCAAACTGACAACTGCAACACAATCGGAAACCTCCATCCAGCAACAAATACGCCAACAACGACAACAAATGTTTCAACAACATCAACAACAGATTCATCAACAACAAATTCGTTACAACAGACAACAAACCGACAGACGAAACTCAAGTACCATGGATGACGACAGCGACTTGTCAGATGACGACGACGACGACACAAGCTGCGACACTAACCGACCGCTCAGTAGTGGCAACGATAGCGCAACTTTGAAAAATGGCGAGAACCACGCATGCCACACTTTTGAACCGATTTGTTTGAACTCAGAAGGAGGCGATCGAAAATGTTTGCTCTGGGCGTGTAAGGCTTGCAAACGCAAAACGATGGCGGTAGACAGACGTAAAGCGGCGACGATGCGTGAACGCCGTAGGTTGCGACGAGTGAATGAGGCTTTCGAGACGCTGAAGCGACGAACCTGTCCAAATCCGAGCCAGCGGCTTGCCAAAGTTGAGATCCTGCGCAACGCCATAGAATACATCGAAAGTCTCGAGGAAATGTTGAGAAACAACAATGGCAACAATCATAACGGTTCAGTAGGAAATGACATCACACATCGAAATGACGTCAGAGGAATGTGCGGTATACTCAGCATTGTCAATGGTGACGTGAACAATGGAAGTAAAGAATCTGTTAACAGTGCGTAGAATTTTCATCATTTTAATAAATTTATAATTTTTTCTGAAAATTTATTAAAACCAGAAATGACCGTCTACAACTATAGCAATTTAATTCAAATTGTATTTTTGTTGCTAGGACATTACTCAGACGATGACAAAAGCGCGCCACCAAGAACTGAGAGTATGGAGGTTAGATTGGTTTTGATGTGAACAATTTTTTTCTGCCGTTTCGTTTATCACGGAACGGATGTGTACGTTTAGAGTGAGTCATTTTCAAAGTATGGCAAACTCATTAATGTTTTCAAATATTTTACTGCATATGCAGTATTAACTCATTTAATTTTTTATTGTTTCAAAAGTCGACAAATTTGCAAGTGTTTAAAGTTATAATTAACAACATTTTCGGTCGACATAAACAAGCAATTCTCTTTTACTGCATCGTCGCGAGTTAGCTAGCTCAGACGGTAACATCGTCATCACTTACTTGTTATAGCTTACTCACCTGGTTCGAAAGTGGTCAGTCCTAAACACAATAACATTCTTAAGCTTAACGGTAATGATTCAATGATTCTTCTGCATGTACACACACGTGTAGGGTCATATTTCTCGATATAGGTGTTAAAATTTTTGCAATGTAAAAGTTCAATGCCGACTAGATGAAGAAGAAAATTATTGTTGGTCAGAGTTGCCTAGTCAAAAATTTAAAAAAATCTTTAATGACAACTTGTGAACTTTTTTTTATTCTGAATCGATGTCTACCATTATTTTATTTTATAAATTTTTGTAAAAAAAATACCTCGTAACCAAATCTAGAGAGAGATAAAAGCAAAGTTTTAAAATTTATAGCCCTGTTGTTCAAGGTTAACAAACTATGGATTCAACATATGAATTAACTTTTAACATGATTAAAAGTGTAGAGGATCTTAAGACAAAATGCCTAAGTTTCGCATTTAGAAATTTGTAAGATAAATCTCCGATGATTTACTTTGCATGAATAATTCTGTCGTCTGTTGTATGTACCTATATGTTTTGTTTTTTTCGTTAAAATAAAAAACATTTAAATAACTTTGAGAAATTATGAAAGCATATGATGGAAGCCGATTTATAATTGCAAGATTAATTGAACGAAAGAAGAAATGATCATTTTGGTTAATGACGAAGATGAACAATTACGACATTTCTAATGAAAATCAATTTGCAAATTAACCTTGCACGATATTCAATTTAGATTTCCTTTATTATTCACCAATCACATGAAATGTTGCCAAAACATTGAAACATACTTACTTTCTTCCTTCAACAAACAGCTCAGCAACTTGTGGTCGGCAATAATAATCTCGCACGAAAATAGTCAGACCTAACGTAATTATGCAAATGATTATAATTGTCACAAGACACGTGTTAAGGTACCAATTTTGCATTAACACAAAATTGAAACTAAATTGTTATGTTCTTATTTACTCAAACTGACTTTTGGATTGTTTGGGCTGCCTGGTGTTCAAAGGAGTTATGATCGCCTGGTGATGTTTCGCAGAGCGTGCAGTCACCGAGTTCGAATACATCAAGAAGATCTTCGTTTACCACATGCTTCAATGTGTCATGCATCGTTTAGCATATATTCATGAGATGTTTGAGTGTGGCTGACTTCTCTTAACCTTTGAAGAGTGTAATAGACCTTTTGGTCTATTGTTGTACCACAATTTTTCAAACGTAATTTTTGCGGCATTTACATTTTTAAGCCCAAAAACTTTGACCAAAATAAAAGAATAACTATTATTTTTTATGTTTTAGCTTCAATTAAATTTATATATTCATCGGTATTCTTAGTACTAGTATTATTAATCTTGAAGTAATTGTTTCAATGTGGCAATTTTGATTTTCTCACAATTACAAACTGAACATCAAAGCGGTTGAAATTGAAAAACAGATAACAAATAATTTAAAATAATATAATATTGCCACAAACCATAATTGCTCTTGTGTAGATAATTTTAAATAAATTTTTCTGAGGGTAAGAACATCAGTTACTCACTCGCCTAGCCATCTTATTATGCTCACAAGTATTTAATTTCTAGCGTATGCAATTATTTTTTCCAAATTTGTGTGATTTTATTTATCTGTTTGCAACTTTGATGTTTGTTAATGTGCTTTTGGTAACTTGTATTTAAATGTAGTGTAATGGATTTTGGGTTAGAATTAAGAACCTCAGTTACTCACTCAGCTAGCTATCTCAAACATCACAAGGTTTTGGGTTTTTAAATTTATCTCACGGATGGCATACATTTAATTTTTACGCAATTAAGAGCTTTTACAGAAACCACAATTTTTACTTCTTTTCACCATTTCACCATTACTATTCTCATTTGCAATGTATTGAATGTCAGGAAATTTGGCGTATGACATGATATATACTGACAGTGGCTGTGTATTTCTACAGAAGTACGATGATACGTAAACTTGAAAAAATTTTTACGAATGGTCATTTATTTTAAAATTTGAAATTTGTAAAACAATAAATAATTTTGATTTTTGAAAACGATAAACTTATGCGCTGATGAAGATGATGATCAGAGATGGTAATTGCTTTTTCATAATGGTGTTGGTGACGTTAATGTTGTTTGCAATTTCGATTTTGGTTTGTGATGATAACAATGTGGATGATTCTGTTTTGGTGTGCATTTTTTTTTACCAATTTTCCAATTGTGTTGATTTTACCGATAGTAAAGACGATGACGTTAAAACTAATGAACATCATAATTGGCGTTGGAAATGATGAGGAAAGATGATTGAAATGGCGTCAAGATGAATATGTTTGACCTTGCTTGACACGTTGACTTATGTAGGGAAGCGTGTTATGACATCGTAATGAAAATATTTCTGTGACACAAAACGAAGTTTTAGATACATATTGGACGAATTTTGTTAAATAATATTATTATACTTTTGTTTATTTGCAATATTTAAAAATTATTATTAGTCGGCTATAGTTTTATTACTCTACTTTATTAAAAGAATTATAGCAGAAATTGATTTATACATAAATTCTGTGATTGTTCACTGCCTGGTGCAGAAAAAATCAGTCTGTACTTTCAAAAATAATAATTAAAATATATTGCTTGTTCATCGGTTATTTGTTGAAGAAGTATAAAAATTGAACGAGTTATAATTTGCGAAACTCCTTTCACTGCGAAAACAGTTTACCAGTTAATTATTTTCTACCTTCTGCACTTATCGCCGTATCTATTATAGTAATATTCCAGCTTCTACTTTGGTGTTTATGAAAGCAAAGATTTATAGCCGAGGTCACATGTGCACCCATGCGAGCGACTTTTAAATTTATGCATCAACTTACGTCAAAAAATATTATGGGAGAGCGGTTTGTTTATTGTGATAATTGGTTTCGAGCAATGCAGTCCAGGTTATGCATACATCTCACACATGCACGCATGCATACAACAGAACATACACCTCACACATACACGAATGCATACAACAGAACATACACCTCACACATACACGCATGCATGCCACAGAGTCTACATCTCACACATACACGTTTTAAAAATGGCATACACACAAACATATAGATGTGTATTTCATTCATGTTTGTATGCTTGTTGGTACGAAATTGTTTTGAACCTCCTTTAGCGAGCAGCAGCAGTTTCTGCATTTACTGATTGTTAATATATGATTTTCGTTTTGTTTTTAAATTTTGTACTTTGGGATGGATATTTAATTGAATTTAAAAAAATTAAGACGTTTCTGATAGGAACTATTGTTGATTTCAATCAATTCAAGTTCTTTTTTATAACTCACTCATGAAGCTTAAGAAATGATTACAACAGATCTTTTATAATTTTCACGTCAAAAACGTTCAATAGACAAATTTGATTGAATACGCTTTTATGAAATTTCTTTGCTATTAATAATGCAACCGTGATAGTTGCAGTCAGTTGTTTTATTGTTGTTCTTGAAATATTTCTGAGAACCAATTTTTTAATTACCGCACCAATTACAACCATTTCATTAGTATCTAGATTAGTGATTGTTTTTTTTTCAACTAACATAACGATAGAATGACTAGGAACTATTGAGAAAACATTACTCAACGATTCGGTTAATGATATATTACAACAAAGCTGCGTGCTTTTAATGATATTTTAAATAATTAACAGAAGATAATTTTATTCTTATACCCATCATCATCACCATTAACATAATTACCGTTTTCATTAACATGATGGCTCGCATACTTTTCTTTTTTAATTTACTTTCCGATTAGGCCTATAATTAAGTTTATGTAACGTTGAGTTTGAACAGATAAGCGTTCATCATGTAAGCCAGCTCTGTGGTAGATTATCTGTATAGGGTTTCCTCCTCATCATCATCTTCATCCTCGCTGTCAACTTCATCTTCGTCGACACGACCATCATCTTCAACATCACTACCGACATCATCGTCTTCATTATCAACCTTATCTATCAACACCATCTCTACTATCATTATAATGCAACCCTCTCTACAAACATCATTCTTTTACCGATCATTTTTCTAATCATCATATCATTCAGCGAGATCGCTAAATCGTCAAACTAAACATTTCCAGTCACGAAAACTGTTTCAATGTTGCCGTAGTTTTCAAATTTATTCTTGGCTAATCTACTCTTTGCACATGTAGGTATACCTTTTAACTTGCAAACAATTTTGATCGGCTAGAAAATTAAAAAAAAATTCAATTTTAAATAATAAACCTTAAATAAAATTATGAAACCAATTACGGTTAACATGCACATGGTTATGTGATGATGGTGACAGTTAAAAAGAATATTTTAATTTAAATGGAAATGACGGTTAAAACGTTGGGTGAATGACGATGACAGTGCCAATGGTGATGACAATAACAGATGACGATGAAGGTGAAGATGATGAAAATGATAACGATGATGCTGATGATGGTAAAGATGACGATGATGATGATGATGAAGATGTTGAAGATGATGCCTGCGAAAACAGAATATAGGCGGTACGGAGGCAAATAATTGTTTCTTTGTTCTTTTCATCAGCCCGTTCAAATATATTGTTTTGTTTTCCATCTAAATACAAGTCTTGTTCTCATCACCGTTGTTATTATTATTATTATTATTTTTATTTCTGTTGTTGTTTTTATTGTCTTAAAATTATTATTATTATTTTAATAATAATCCAACTCTTTCCCCACGGTAGTTCATTGATTTATAAATATTATTATTATAATATATTTTATTATTAATTTTATTTTGGTACATGATGACGATGTTGTTGTATTTTCCCAACAAAGCGTGTCGTTATTAGTATGTTCTTCATGCGTTTGTTTGTTTGTTTGTTCGTTCGTTCGTTTGTCATGTTGTGTTGTTTGTGGTTTCCCATTGTTCGTTTGTTTGTTTGATGGTTGGTCCTTTCTGACTGGTTGTTAGGCCAAGTTATGCAGAATTTAGAATTTACTCGCATTCGCATACAAATTATCTTCCAAAGATTACATTATTTTGTATTTTCAAGTTGCTTAAAAAATGATTTTAACTTCATGTTTCATCTTTCATAAAATTATATGTTTTAATCGTTATCATTTTTTGGTAGTTATCATCTACATCATCACCATCATCATCATAAACATTAACATCATCACCATAAAAATTAGTTAGCATCATCATCATAATTCTCATCACCATAAACATCCCCATAATCATCATGTACATTATCGTCATCATCACAAAAGCCACCATAATTAACATAACCATCATCGCCATCATAATACTCATTGTGTTTTTAATTTATCATGCTTGACCCCATCATAGAAGCAGAAGAAATTGGGTTGGAGGATGTTATGTATCTACATATCCATATGTATCTTTATATCTATATATCTATATGCTATGTATGTTATGTATATAGGCTTATGTACGTACACATACAAAGATGAAGATGCTATGTGCTATGTTAATGTTGCATAAGTCTTATGTATGCATTACGTATGTGAGGTTGTTGTTTGTTGTTTGTGTTTGTTTGTGGTGGCTGGCTCAGTTAATGATCTTGCCTTTGTTACAACCATTTCGTTCATTTATCATTTATATCCTTTTGGTCTCTATTTTATTACTTTGTGTTTTGTGGAAAATTAACAAAGTGTAGCTTTGATGAATATTTAAACAAACGAACATGTACGAAATGTATGAGCAAAAACACATTTTGACACCTCTAAAGACATGCGACTACTTGTAAAAGGTTATTTATAACTCAATTAAACATGTTAGTTGAATTGTTCTTTTCAACCAAATTACTAGACAAATCATTTCCATTTTGTGTATGATTATTATTGTAATTATTATTATTTTTTAATAGAATTGATTTGTTGAATATCACCACATTTATCACCATATATAACTTATATCTGTATATTAGCATGCAAAATAATGGTTCATCCTGTCGGTTGTTCATTTACGTTATTAAAACATCCTTTCTCACGGAGAATGTACAAGGTGCACGTGTAACATTTTTTATTGTTTGCGTGCTTGTATGTTTGTTTGTGTTTACATATGTTTGTATGTTTGTTTACATGTATGTTTGTATACAATGCTTGTTTGTATGTCAGTTTATATTTGCATGTTAACATGTGTTTGTATGTTTGTTTACATGTATGTTTGTATCTATGCAAAATTTTGTATTGATTGACGGAGTGTATATTTGTTTCTTTATTGGATGTATTTGTACGTAAGCTAGTATTTGTAGAAGTGTTAACGATGCTATGTGTATCCTTTATCATACAAATATGCTTTTACAAATAGATAAAATAGATATATGAACTTAGTTGGTTGAGCACATACACGTGTGTGTGTGTGTGTGTGCGTGTATGTGTGTGTGCGTGTGTGTGTGTGTGCGTGTGTTCTCAGCCCAGATGTTTAGAAATGGATAGGATGCATGTTTTATCAAGGAGCGAATAAAATAAAACTCATCAGCTTTCATTCGTCTGATGCAAACGTGATGGAGTTTTTTTTTCAATTTGTTTGCTAATCTATTTTCGTCTATCTACTGTCGTTTTTAGATTGAATTTTTTTTACCATTTTGATTAGATAAATAAAATACGTATATACAAACACGGTATATGTTTTTGTTTTAAAAATATTCATATATACATACATATACAAACACATGCAAATATAAATCCATGTGAGTGTGTGTTTATCTGTTTGAGTGAGTGGTTGTTTGTGAATGTTTTTAAAGGTGTTGTGTTTGTTGAGAGGTGTTTGAAACATTTGAGGCGTTTCGCTATCATTATGTTGAAATGTCTGAATGTCAAAAGCACGGTTCACGCACTGATTTACATATTCCTCACTTTGAATATATAAACTATACATATTACATTCTATATGGACAGGACACTTACTCAAAATAGTTTAGTTTACCAATGCTTGTTTTGATCAATTAATTTTGATTGGCACACAAATTGAGACTGTTTCATTTTTTAACAATTTTGATCATGATCAGTAGAAAATTGTTCCCGTATTTTTTTCCCTATTTTGAACATTCATTCTTGAGTCTATTTATTTTTTTTTCATGTATATTTAGTATATATATATATATATATATATATATATATATATATATAATGTAAGTGAATTTTTATAATTTTAAATAGTAAAAATATCAGGACAAAAAATATTAGTTTCAATACAGTTACATTTTTAGAAATGCACTCAAAATTTTTCGTTTGCTCTCAGAGCAAACTCCTTATAACAAACCAAATGTTAACATTCTTTATGAAGAGCCATCATAGAGACCTATCCTTGAATGGAAAAGTATCGCGTTCGAGACTTTCCGTAGTAACGTACACCCTGATTACTATTGTAATAGAATGTAAATGGAAAACACATCCAAACTCGAACATGTAAGCGTCATTTAAGACGGTGATGCAAGACAATCTGCAAGTGCAATGGTGAAGATGCCGTTAAATAATTTGAAAATATTTTGCGGCTGAGTGTGCGTGAGAGCTGTTCGGATTATCAAAGAGGTTTTCATACTCGAGATAAAAGTTACTTTCCCAGAAGTTCCTGGAATATTTTCTGCATCTTCATCTCCATATTAATAAATAATATAATTTATCGTGCAGTATGTCATACGCATATTTACATTCTTCCTTAAATAGTTTGTTGTTTGTTTTTGATTGTAATGTATTATTTTTATTATTTTTGTTGTTGATTTTGATAAATTCCATTAATTTTTAAAATGTTTTAATTGAAAGATTGATATAAAAAAAATTACATGACTTTGAAGTTTAAAATACAAAAGTTTAAAAAAATATTCAAGAGTGAGCATCATTACATCTGCACACGCACACACACGCACATAGACATAGAAACACACACACACGCACGCACGCACGCACGCACACACACATACACTCACACTCGCTAACATGCGGAAGAAACGTTACACAAGCGTTAAAATAGAGCATTAATTGAAAATAGCTTTTGGAAATTAACAGTTGATAATTAACAGATAAATGTTTTGTTTAGCCAACCTACTGGCCACGCATTCAATTTAAAAGTCTGCGGGCCAGAAATTGCGTGTGTGTGTGTATGTGTACATGTGTGTGTGTGTGCGTGTGTGTGTATGTGTGTGTGTTTGCACGTTTGTGAGTGAATGCCGTTTATTTGTGAGTGTGCTTATGTATGTGTGTTTAAACATGTTGATTTTTTAGGATTAGGTAGTGCATTGCGTTTCGTAAATTTTATCACTGGTTAGGTTGTTGCCATAGGTTGTTGCTTTTTGTTGAATGTTGAAGTTTTTTGATGGTTTTAGTCTGATTCAAAATGAGACTAATAATAAAAAAATAAAATTGTTTTTGTATAAAATATGTTTTAAATATTCATTCGAAAGACTGTACATAAAAATGATTTTGTTATAGAATGAAAATATTAAAAAAAAAACTATTTTGCAGGTACAAGAGACGTTACTACCACTAAGAAACAACTTCGAAAGTAACAACGGTCAGTAACTAAACCGTTATTGTATACTCTTGATTGATATTTTATACTGCACGTGTAGTTTGTAACTGATCTTTCAAATATGTATATACACACACAGACACACACACAGACACACACACATATACGAACAAACACAGGCATACATCATTATAGTATAACAATAAACTGCAAATGGAATTCATAAAAAAACTAGGCACGAGGAAAAACAAGCAGAACTTAATCAAACATTTTTAACACTTAAGGATCAAATTTTTTTATACCAAATGAAATTACATAAAAACACACAAATAAAATTTGCACGAAGTACATACAAAACCCTAAAAACAAATACAACGAAATACAAACACATACAAACAAATACTTTTCTCCACAGACTCATGTTTTTATACCTTACCTTATATGCAGACATACAAATATTTCATAAATGTATGTTATATAAGCAAGTATGTGTGTGTGTGTGTGTGTTTGTAGGTATGGATGCATATATGTGGTATTGTATGTGTGTGTAGAGAGCGCTCTAACCAAAGAAATGGATGTTCATAGAAGCTATTATACGCATCAATTCACCTCTTCTCCACAGTGATTGACGGAAACAGCTGCAAAAATTTGCAGACTCAAATGAACGCATGCGCACTAAAATAAAATGTTACATGTAAACTCTCTAACGTGTAAACTCCTCAACCAACAAACTTCATAAAGTGTTATTTTTGTTTATAATTTTTATCAAATAAACAAATAATTAGGTAAAAACAATTAGGCAAATACTTTTAAATTGAAATTCAAAAGTTTTAAATAATAAAACCCTTTACAATTTCTTCCTTGATGTTTTGTATAATTACTCGTAAACTTTTCAACATTTTACAAATATATCTGCAAACTTTAGAGGGAAACACACACACACACACACACACACACACACACACACATACACACACACACACACACACACATACACACACACACACACATACACACACACACACACACACACACACACACACACATGCACGAACAAATACACAATCACGGCACGCACACAAAAACACACACAAACGTACATATGCGTATTGAAATGCGTATTTAGTCTTCCATACATGCATTAGTATGTTGTTATAAACATAAAGCATCGGTTCTGAGCTTGCTGCTTTTTGTTGTTTTGTTTACATAAAAACGCTAACGCACGAAATTTATTGATTATTTATTTTTTAGTTAGTGTATGAGCAATAAAATTTTGTTGTATAAATGCTACTATATCACGCATAGAAAAATCATGATTTTATAATAGAATTGTAAATGTCTATGTATAAAAAAGAGAATCAATGATATAGCTGTTCTATCATACAGATCCCACCTAACATTGTGTATGTATGGCACACACTGTGAAAGTTCACCAAATGATTGCATAAAATAATTAAACACAAAATAAAAAATGAAACGTGTACAAAATTATGGCAATGTTGAAATATAAACAAAATTTTAAAATAATAAAAAAGTAATATCAAATAAATAATTTTTACAAATCTCCCATTCCTCTAGCATCTCCACAAGCCAAAATTTTGCCTAAATGTTACAATCATCGGACGATCATACACTAACCACAGAAGGCAATTATGAACATTTGAATACACACATACACGCCTTCTTGCTCCGTGCAAAAATACATTAGGACTAAGTAACTACACTCACACATCTACCATTACTGTTGTTACATACATAACCGCGTATATAACTTATGTTATATATACATATCCAACTATTGTAATATTAATATACCGTTTGTTGGATCATTTTTACTTGGTGTTTTATAAGTTTTATAGTTGGGAGTAGTTTAAAAATTCCTCTGCGAAAGAATTAAAATTGATGATATAATTGAATAAGCGTGTGTATAAACAGTAAATATTTACACGCCCACAAATTAAATATGTAATATTTCTACATATACTCAAACATTCGCATGTACACACATATATAATAAAATACACACAACACTTCATGCACAGAAACACACACATTCTCGCCAACAGACATACACAAACGAACAGTGAGACCCACACACATATAGACACACACACACTCATTAACACATACACATTCATATTAACACACGGACATACACGTACACATGCACACACAGGCACACAGACAGACAACATATTTTGGTGGAACAATGACGAGACTGCGATAATGATTAGACTGAATATTTGGATTGATTTCTTTGATGTAGTTCTGCTGATGATACAACGTCAATAGCAATAAAGATGATGATGATGATGATGATGATGATGATAATGGCAATGCTAATGATGATGATGATGACGAGGATTATAAAGTTGCTGATGATACAATTAAAATATTTCAATGGATTTTCATCATTTCATCGAAATGTCATAACACATCAAGTACATTAAGTAATGAATGTGTGTGTGTGTGTATGTTTGCGTGACGTGTGTGAGTGTGTGTATGTTTGCGTGACGTGTGTGAGTGTGTGTGTGTGCATGTGTGTATGTTTGTGCGTGTGGTGAATGTGTAAGTGTGTGTATGCGCGTGATTGTTATATTGTAAGCAAAAACACTTCAGCCGAAATTCATATTTAAATCGCAAATGTTTCCTACAGTTCAAATCTTTATTTCCTTATAGACTAACTCTCTCACTCTCTTTCGCTCATTAAATATAATGCCATTAAATTGCATGAAGATTAACACCTGGAGCTAACAAGAGAGAGGCATGATAGGGAGTTTGAGTTTTATGACGAAATTATCATTTCCTTGCAGCCATCGTCAATTTTATGGAAGATGGAAAGATTAAAATGAAATTATTTCATAAAAAATTTTGCTGTATTTAAATTATATTTCTAATAATTACATTAATAAATTTTTTTTTGGATGATTTTAAGTGAGTGTGATTTGTGTCACCAAATTTATTGTTATATTTAATGATTTAAAACATTAAAATAACTTTTAACTGTTTAAACAGAGTTCAGAGTGCGCTACAACACCCCTTACCCCCCTGCCACGACACCTTCTTCCCTCCTCATGACTTCTCCATCGATGACATCATCTTCTACGTCATCACCTCTCTCGTCCAATAGCGTTTCGAGTCTGGATTGTTTGTCGTTGATAGTTGAAAGCATAGCTCTTCCCCAACCGACCAATCAGAACGCAGGAAGCCACTACGTTGGCGCAGCTTCAGTAGCTAACCTTGGTGGTCAGGTGAACTGCAGCAGCGTCAACAAAACTAAGAACAACAACAACAACAACACCAGTGCAACAACACAGAGCAACATTTGCAACAGTGGAACTCCGAACAGCAACAACATTCTACATGCTGATATGAACAAGAACGCCATGCACAGTAACAACGAGACAAATATCAACTTCATGATCGACGAAATAGATGCTGCGTCTGTTGCCAAAGATATTACCACCGACGCGTGTTTAAATTCTGGGAGGGTTAATAACGAGAGTTACAACGATTTGTACAGCAGTATTTGTTATTCCATTGCTCAAACCAACGATAGCGATAAGCAGATCAGCAACAACAAAAATGATTTCAGTGCGATGTTGGGTCAGAAACAGTACAAGAGCAATGATTTTCTATTCAGTGCAAACTTCTCTGACGACGACATCAATAACAACCAAACAACTAAAATGGAAGAAAACAAAAACAACTCAAACAACAACAACAACAGCAACATTAACAACAACACTCAGAGTAACAGCATTGGCATTGATGGTGATGATAAATTGCAGTGAAACCGCCAGCGAAAGTTTTTCCGAAGAAAGTTGTTATCAGTGGATGATATTTATTTGTAGGCAAGCACATCATAGTCGATTGTTGTTAGCACGTGTCAGTAATTTCTAAATAGGATGTTTCATCATTAGTTTTAAAAGTGTAAATTTGGAAACTTTTTTTTAACATTTCTTCACATGATGCTGATGCCTCAATGAAGTATTGAAATAACTCTATTTAATTCATCAACCATACAATCTTAGATTAATATTTTAGTACTCTTTGTTTATATGATATGTCTACCTATATTGTATGACTGTCAGTTGTGTACGTTTCGTACACCGATGTAAGCAAGCAAATTTTGGAGATATAGATGGAGATAGCAATGTTACTCATATATCATATTATATATTTTCATACGTCACACCACAAATGTCTTACAAACTGGCATCATTGTCTACAAATACTGAATTGATGTTAATTTTATTACAGTTTTTATATTTTACTTGATTTTTTATAAAAAGTATTTCTTACGTATTTATTTTATACTCTCGTCAAGTGCAATTAATAAACTTTGTATTATAATAGATCTTCATGGATAATATTGATGACTTTGTTTATTTTATATTGTATAACTGCCATCAAATCTTGAAATCGTCAATACTTTACTTTTTTGTAAACACTTAAATGACTTTTTTCCGTTCGATTCGTTACTAAAACTAATTAAAACGTTTGAATTTAATAAAAAGTTATTATTGCTTAGCTACAAAAAACTAAACTGTAGTACATCGATGCTAATTTGTGAAAAAAAACCTCACTAGAGTCCTCTACTAAAACGAACATCCTCGTGCATGTAAAACGTTTAGAAATTTGCTACTGGAATGGACTATCAAGTTCTTTATCATCTGTTAACATCATTCAATATTTTAGTTCTTTCTTACAAAAAATTAAATTTAACGCAATATTTTTTGATTGAAATGATTGGTTGAAGACTTTTTCAATCAGTAAATTGAATGGCTAGTCTTTCGTGGTCGTTATTATAAAACAGTAGCAGTAAGTTTGCCGGGTATGTAGGATAGAAAATTAATTGAGAAAGTGCTCTATGGAACGTGTAAACTAATTTTATAAATGAAATGAAAATTTAATACTTTTGGAAAATATTTAAAAAAAGAAATCAGCGAAGCAATTACTTAATTTCCTCTTAACGAAAGCGAATTCAATAGCAGTCCAGACGCCATTGCGCTGCGATGAGTGTAAAAAAAAGCGTTTCGTTCAACTAAACCTCTACCTATACGTACGATTGTAATGAACAGTGAACACCCACGTCAAAACATTTAACTTTAAAGTTTTTCTTAAATTTTAATCGTGTATTTAATTAAAATGATAAGCAGTCAATTGGTTGCAAATAGTTTTTCAATGATTTTATGTAACAAAAAATGTAGTGGCATCTATTTATCTACTTTTTATATATCATTGCAAGAATTTTTTTTGTTTTTGTTTTTAACAAAATGTTGCTAACACCTACCAGATGTCAATTTGAAAATTTGAACTAAAAAAGCAGATTGTAAGTTTTTAAATATAAGTTGGTAAATTTGAAATTCTGCTTTACAAGTTTGTGTTTAGCTGTTTGCTAAATGATGAAAAAACATTGAATGAAAAAAGGGTACGGTAAATGGTTTTTGCTTTTAAATCACCAGAATTTAAACAACCTGCAAATACCTTTTATTGTAATCTTAACAGCAATAATAAAACTCTTCCCCACAATGATCATCGAAAATTCACGCCATCTACTGCAACGTGATGATCAGTGTGTTGTACAGCTACACGGATGTCTGGTCTACCGACATGCACGTCTGGTCTAACGACATGCACGTCTTGTCTATCAACAACAGCACATACAAGAAGTTGTGCTGTGTGTCTTGCTTCTTCATATGTACGACATCCTTCTTCGTTTGATATAGGCAACTGCCTGCAGAAATAAACAGCACTACACGTACACATTCAAATAAATAAGAAGAACAGAAATTATAAATGATTGAGGTGTAAATTTTAAATAAGTTAAGGCAGATGTATTGCTTGTATTTGAACATATGAACCTACTCAGCGGACATAATACATCATTTTATTATGTCATTTTTAATTATTTTTTCTATTTATCTGCAAAGGATGAGTGGTGACGTTGATGCTGGTGTAGCACACTGCACTACGGAGCTATATAGTTTATTAGCGTTATTTGAAGAGAGCACATATATCAGTTGTATTTACTCGTGTAAGTTTTTTTTCTACGTCCATGTTGTTGTTTGTTTGTTTGTGTGTGTGTTTGTTTGTGTGTGTATGTTCATGTCCAAGTGCACGTTTGTGTATGTACGTATTTTTATATACATGTTGCATGTCGTATTCATTTTTTGTGTAAGTGTTTATCGGTGTGTACCCTAGAATATGGTAAATTCCAAAAATATTCATGTTTAATGTTGTAATTCAACTTTTTTGTAAATAAATGTGACCTCTTTTAAAATGATTTTCAAAAATATTCATATGTTTTACGAACAATCTGGGGATTGGTTGGTTAGACATCATGATAATCAGCATTTCACTTACCTGTTACATGCTATTATAACTACTAACAGTTATTGCACCAGATGTTAGCAACAAAAATGTAAAAGTGTAAGTTGAGGTTTGTTGTTGAAATTGAGAAATGGGGGAAGAAGCAGATGTGACAGCTTGTGACGAGCAACCCAGTATTTTCCTCATTACTCCCTTCTTCCTAATTCTGCTTGCCTCTTGCTCTTCAATACAAACAACTCATTATTAGTATGAAATTTGACAAGTTTGTTTTTTGATTTCATGTTTTTTTTTATAATCCTATTAAATTTTTAAAAATAAACAACTTGACAATACTTACCATAAAAATTTTTGCTTCTTATTTGAGGATTACTCCTCATTTAAGAGATTTTGCCACAAGTTTTTTATTCATCTAACGTGTTTCTGTGTCTTGAACTCTGAGAAATTTGAAGATTGAATCTGTTACACAGAAAAACAAGGTTCGAAACAAAAACAAACAAAAACATAATCAAGACAAAACAAAACATACACAGTACATCCATCTGTGGCAAAAACATTGAAGCCTCTTCTCAAGACGACAGCAGAGACGTGTCTTATGATGCTACTTAAATTACTTACACGCTAAGTACTAACAAATGAATGTTGTCTTGTCTATACGTGTGTGTGTGTGTGTGTGTGTGTGTGTGTGTGTGTGTGTGTGTATGTGGTGTGGGTGTTGTTTGGTTTTGTATGTGTTTGCATGGGTGAATAGGAGCGATGCGCGTTTACAAATATACACACACCCAAGTAAAGCGTACTAATCAGCAGTAAATAGTTATATTAATAGTAAAAATTAGCAATATTTATAACAGTAAGAACCTGGTAAAACATAGTAAAGAAATATTTTACAAATATGTCATAACAAACAAAATCAAATGACAAAAAACGGTATGATGACGGATGGTGATGCATAGCAACAAATATTTTCATGAATGTTAAAAGATGAGGAAAAAAATTTGACTACTACTGTTTATATAAACCAATGAAAATAATTATATGAAATTTTTTAACAAAAATGATTTAGATTGTCAAATTAATCTCCTAAATATTTTCAATTTTTTTTAAACCGGTTAAATTTTTCAAGAGTTATCATAAAAACCACTGTACTTCGTACAAAATTTTTACTACATTTACGAAAACTATTTATAGGCGATTAAATACAATAGTGCGATAATCGCCTTAGGTTAGGGTTAGGGTTAGGGTTATAGTTGAAATTTGTGTGGGTACATAAGGTGCTTGCTGGTTGTGGCTTGAGTTCATAGCTTCATTCATCATTTTATGGCATCCACACAATCGCGTGTTCTTAACTTTATTTATTTTTTCATTTTTTTTTTCGGAAGTTCATGTTAAATTTAAAAATATTTTAAGTGAAAATTTTGGAAAGATTTTATTTTCTGAAAATATATTTTTTATACAATAAATCATATACTTTGGAAGGTATAAATACTGTTTTCTTCTAAATAAAATCAACAGCAAGAAATAAAATTTATAGATTTTTTTTTATCAAGTTTGAGATTCAAAATTTTTTCAAAACTCACTTTTTCTATAATACAATTTCGCGATCAAAAAATATACCGATATCAACATTGTATTGAGTTTTATTCACAAATAATTTAAAATAACCTTCTATACTTATGGCTTTTTAGTAATAGATAAATGATATCATGATATAAAAGATGTTCATTATTCCAGTAAGCCGACGTTTCATTCAAACATTAACATTTAAGTAAGAATATGCCAAGAAACGTTATCAGTAATAATCTTATTAGAAACTATCATCAAATATTTGGAATTCAAACATTTTTAAAATTAACTTGCAAGCCTGGTATAACGCCCGTCCATTAGGGCGTTTATCGAACGGGTCATTCATTCACATGTCTCTGAAATTCAATGGATAGATAACTTGGCTCGGGTGCAAATTTTAACGACCATCAAACAATGCCGGCTGGTTGGTGTAATGGCCGCCTGCATACATTCATGCTGCTGCTCTGCTTACGTTGATGTTTTCCTAGATAAAATCTTCTTTACGAGGTCTTTGCCAAATTTTCTCACAGTTTTGCACGAAAAGTGTAAATGTAATAAATCAAGATAAGCTGTAGAACGAAGAAGATAATGACGTCCCATATTACAGACTAACCCATTACAACTCCAAGAACATTAAATAAATGTTACTGAATAATTTTTTTATTATTTTTACTATTTCCACACAAGCGCAGTTTTTCATGCAAAGAAAATTATAAAAATTTCTTACGAATATAAGTTAGAATACTATCAGACGTTCCAAACTTGGCATCCCACGTGTGCGTGTTTGTGTATGTGTTTTTGTATGTGTTGGTACATGTGTCTAAGCATGAGTTTCTGCATGTGTTGTTTGCCGTGCGCGAGTACTTCATCTGTGAAGGCAAACAAAAGATTGTGTACG